TTTGTGAAACCATGAATCGATCAATGTTAGACCACACCATTAGAAACCTGGAAGCACTGAAAGACGGCCGTTTCATCCTTGTATGGGACTCATCAGCAGTAGGCATCCACGACTCCTGCACCCCGCAGGATTCGAAACCATGGAAACCGATGGAGCTGTGGTTGAATTAGATGAGCTGGGCTCTGTGGAAGGGGAAATCTTCATGTCTGTCAACATCTGCATCAGTTTCAGCTGCTGCTCAAGTAATAATTCAAATTTGGCAGGATCCATGTTTCCGGAAATACCGTCGTCAATTTTTACGTTCGTCCCTAAGTATGCTTGAGGCTATTACGAGTTCACATTAGTCGATAAACGCAAACGAGACAATTACCAGCGTCCAGGTAGGCCACCTTGATCCCGAAATCGCCAAAAGAGAAGTCTTGATAAGAGTAGAAAGTATATTCTACAAACACCCAGCAATTACACAGTACAATCAAGCACATAACTCTCTTTTATTTATTCATCATAGAAACGTCCTTGGGACAGTCACATAAATAGCACACCAAAATACACAGCAGTCAATCATAGCTAAGGATTTTCCTGGTGGGAAATGCGATCTCAAGGTCAAATGATCAACCCATGCTCGCAAACGTGAAATCCAAAATAAGGCATTTATCAAGCGAGTTTTGGGGATCTAACATCCCCAACATAAACTAAAAATGAACTGCTGCATTATATATATATCTGTATCTATATATATATATATATATATATATATATATATATATATATATATATATATATATATACATATATATACGTCTGAAGGTTAGGCGTTTTCGTCCGAGACCGGAGGTTTTTGATTTCGATTACCTCGAATACAAAGCTATGGATGCGCTTTGTTCATAAATCTCTTACTAGAATGAAACAATTGTACAATCTCTCTAAGTTTTCATCGGTAGTCTAGCTAAGAGTATTAGCTCATAATTCAAACAGTGAACATTAAAATTGTGCAAACTTACAAATCAACAGTAGGTGGTTCCATAAATTGAATTAAATAATTTACATTATCTAATTCATGTTGATAAATTACAATTTTTATTTGATAAGATGATGATATTGTGATGCCTAGTTTCTTTTCATCTAAATTCATAGATTGATTAGTATTGTTTGACGATGATGATAGTCTGTTCAATAGAGTTTGTTTCCCAACCCCGAAACTACCAATCAGCAACACTTTGAATATTAATGATTTTGAATCATTCAACTAATAATAGAATGTCAAGTTATTTTTTTGTTTAATCAGAATAGAGAGAGAGAGAGAAAAGAAAATGAACAAGGAAATGAGGGCTATGAATCGTTTCAATGTGAAGAAAATTCTAGAAAATCATTATAACATTGAGAACAAGGTGCAATACATTGATGATCAATGAATTTAGTCTAGTTCAGTAGATATACTTTGAAAACAATAACAGAACAGTTAGATAAGCGGTGTTTTCAAACTTGAAGTATATGCAAGATTTTTTTAATGAAAGAGCCTCAACGATTTGCCGTGATAAACGGAAAGTAATGTAAACTTGACTGATAGTAGTTTCAAACTTATTGTAAAGTATCGAAAAGACACATGATCTTTTCGACTGCGCTTGTAAATACCTACTTTGTTATACGATTTGATTACGGCTTGCTTCTTGAAGTGATTCAAGACTGTGATATGATTAGCTGTTTTCTTTCACTTATTTCAGTCTCATTACCAACTGTTCTTTCAGTAGTGATATGTGAATGGTCCCCATGTGAGATGTAAATTCAGAACACTGTCATAGGAGTTTTTTTGGAAGAAAATTTGATTTGAAACTCGTCCGAAAATTACTTACTTACTTACGCCTGTTACCTACAATGAAGCATAGGCCGCCCACCAGTTTTCTCCAACCAACTCTGTCCTGGGCTTCTCTTTCCGATTCTGTCCGATTTTCGTTCATTCTTCTCATATCCTTCTCTATTTCTCGGTGTAATGTGTTCCTTGGCCTTCCTCTTTTCCTTTTGCCTTGAGGATTCCACGTGAGAGCTTGTCTTGTGACGCATTTCGATACTTTCCTCAATGTATCTACTTCCAACGCTTGTTCCTGATTTCCTCCTTCTGGTTCGTTCTTTCCCACAGTAGGTTTCTGATGCTGTCTGGTCAACGGGATCGAAGTATTTTGCGTAGACAACTGTTAATAAATACTTGTATCTTCTGTATGATGGCTTTGTTAGTTCTCTCAGTTTCCGGTCCCTACATAGAAATGTCTAGACACTTGTATTGAAAATCCTGATTTTGGTTTTGGTTGAAAGTTGTTTTGAGTTCAAGATATTGTTCAGTTGCAGAAAAACAGCCCTTACTTTGCTGATCCGTTCCCACACATGTGCATCAGACCCACCTTGATTTTCGGTGATGCTGCCCTGATATGTAAAGGTGTTAACGTCCTCCAAAGAATCTCCATCTAGAGTGATTTGATTGGCACATGTTGTGTTGTATCGTAGAATCTTACTTTTCCCCTTTATGCTTGTTGAGACTAACTGCAGCCTAGGCTGCTGCTACACTGGTCGTCTTTTCTTGCATTTATTGTTGCTTGTGAGATAGAAGAGCCAGATCATCAGCGAAGTCCAAATCGTCCAGCTGCGTCCTAGCTGTCCATTGAATACCGTGCTTCCCTGCAGATGCTGACCTCTTCATAATCCGGAAATCGAGCCATGGACCTTCAGTACTCCAAAGAAGTAGGTTTTCTTTAGACTATCACTGAAAAACATACTTCAGCATTTATTAACCAACCTTAACTTAACATTATCTCCTTTTCTGTACATCGCTGAGTGAATTTTTCAAATAAGGCTTCTTGAAAACAACCTTGTCGATATCACTCGTAGTTATTTCACTGAATCATTATGAATAGATTTTATCACACACAAAATCTAAATTCTGAGTCAGTTATAGTAAATGGAAATTTAAAAAAATTATTCTTATCCTCACATCACTGTCAATCTATTGGAACATTGATTTCTTTCTATATGCCAAAAAAGGTTTGTAAATTTTTAAAAAGGTCATCATTGAACTTCATAAATCGAACTAATCCCTAGGACCAACTAATAAAATACAGCAATACATACAAGAATGAATAGTCTACTGGGTTTTTTAAGTAGTATATACTGAAGAGTTTGATATCTTCTTTCATACTAAAATTACTTGGATTCTTAGACATAAATCTCTCAGGTAGTATATTTTATCACTACATCAAAAAAAGGGATTGTTATGTTTGCTGCCGGTTGATATGCTTCAAACTATAACGAGTTCACCTTAGTCGGTAAACCAGAGCGAAGACAAATGATCTAGTGACACGATAGGCTACTCTAATCCGAACGTCCTAAGGCCCCTTTAAGTAGATGAAGAAGTCCTGACAAGACGTAGAAAGTTTATTCTACAGGAACCCAGAAAAGCGAGATCTACAAACACACAAATCGAGTTTATTTATCCATCATAGGAAATTCCTTTGGAGAGCCACAAAAATATCGTTCTAAAATAATAGTTCAGCCAATGACAGTCAATGATTTTCAGAATGGTAAATGTAATCTCAAGGTCAGCTGATCAGCTTATGCGCGAAAATACAGAAAAAACCGACATTAGGACCTTTTCCAAGTGAGTTCTGAGGATCTAACATCCCTAACAGGGAACTTGAATGTGTCACGTGTAATAGTTTCCTTAATCTTTTTTTTATCCTATTGTGGTGCACGCTACTTATAAGTAGTATATGACGCGAGTGAACACGTAATGTCTGGCAGCAGAAGATGGGGGAAGATCAAGAAAGGAAGAGCGGGAACACAATGGGATTTATATGAAATAGCATGAACAGTGAAATGTCAGACAATAGATTGATGTTTTGCAACAGGAACAGTCCAGTTCGATATGATGGACTGATATTTTGCAAATTAACGATTTACGATATGGTTTTCCTATTTTACCAATTAGCTGTGTAATGACAGATAAATACAATTCGGTTGCCCTCACCTGTGTTCTCCTTCACTACACTATAAGCACAAAATTCATTATTTATATTTGAATTTAAGCAAAAAGCAATCGACTTTATAATCAATCATGAATACCTGGAGTTGAAGGTTAAACTTATTGGACAATGAAAGAATTAAGTATTCATTGAGAAAAATTTTGTATGCTTTCTACTATGTAAACTGGAATGTCACTCTTGAGGTATTATAAAAAAAAAGTACATTTCAATATGATTTAAAAGTTTGGGCAAATGTAAATCAACGAAATACACCCTGGATCTGATTGATGACTTACTTTAAACAATCTTTTACTATTACTATTCAAATCATCTTCTTGATTCTTCCTATGTGATAAGGAAAGACAGGATATAGACATTTTTTAAAAAAAACAACTGATTATAATTTACGAAGCATATAATGAGTAATATACTACTTATATACTGAACAAAATAAGCGGAAAAAAACGGATTTATTTGTAGGAACTGCTGATTTTTTTCAAAAATAATAACATTTTTAAACATTTGAAATCATCAATCAATCATTGTTACACCACCATTAGAAACCTGGAAGCACTGGAAGGCCGTTTCTTCCTGGTATGGGACTCATCAACAGTGCGCATCCATGACTCCTGCACCCGGGACCTTCGGTATTGTGCGCGAACGCCTAACCATCGGACCACTGAGCAGGTATCCAACGGTGTTAATGCCTAACTCTGATTGATCTACGGATTTTGCGCAACCTCGCGCATTTGTCTTTGATAGTTACTGCATACACCCGACAGGGTTGAACTCCATTGGTCACGTCTTCTCAACTAGAACTCCGAGAATTTCCTCACGAAGCTAGTCACTAGTGAGCAATGTTACGATATTTTGGGGCAGAGTTTTGGAAGTTTGTGTTTTTACAATTTTGAAATCATTAATCCGTCCAGTGCTTCCAGGTTTCTTTCGGTGGTCTAACAATGATTGATTGATGATTTCAAATGTGTAAAAACACAAACCTCCAAAACTCTGCTCGAAAATAATGACACTGATTTATCAGTAAAATGATATCACACTCAAATACTGATTATCGCTATTGAAGAAATTAAGGATATCAACTGAATCGACTTGTTATAGTAAGATTGTGTCATTTTTGTGTTAAGCAAAATGTCAGTTTCGGTTTGTCAGAAAGTTATTACAATATAGTATCGATTACTCCAAGTTACATTAGAAACGAGAGGTCTGGAGCTTTGAATTCACCGTCCCAAATTGAGACATTGATTTTTATTACATAGTATCTCGACAATGTATTTGATCATTATCT